CCTTACCTCTAGACCACTGAGTCGTCATCCAGCAGTATTAATTTTTAACTTCAATCGATCTATGATCTTGTTCAACCATTCATCGAATGTCTGAGGTGGATAACTATTTCACACCCGATACGGATTGGAATCTACTGGTCATTGTTTCTCACTAGAACTCCAGAAAATCCATCTTGAAGCTTAGGTAACATCGACTCATGAATTCACCTATTAAAACCACATACTGATATAATCAAAGAAATCTATTAACTCTGATTATAATAACTTATCAATCACGATTAGAAACAGGTTTAAACAGGCTACTACAATAATCATGTCTATCAAATGTTGATCATAAGTTAAAATAAACCTAATTTATATTTACGTGTTTATGACTATAAATGAATGAGAACTGATTAGAAACTTAAAATATCATTATGTTTTCTATGAAAATATGTGAACAAGTGAAATAAAGATACTTTTAAGAGTTGAATAGGTGAGTAAATGTTGACGATGGCAATGAATTTTTCACTTCCATAGTATTGATAAACCAAAGTATCCATTACTTTTCAAGGTAAACTGTCAGTCTAACACAACAGAATATAAAATGAATGCTCACAAATTGTGTTTTCTATCATTTTTTTAAATTTAGAGTTTGTGTAAAATTATATAACAGAAGTGTAAGATGGTTGGAGGTCGTCATCAGAAAACCTTAATGCTAATATGTATGTTTTGTTGTTCACTGGTGTTAACTGACTTGCACAGTTTCCTCTCTACTACCTCTGACATACTATGCAGGATATCGAGTCATTTAGACTAATGGTCGCATTACAATCTAATTTATAGAATCCGATCACTATTGGTTACTATTTAATGTTTATCAAATTATAAATGAAAAAGAGGTGTATAACTTTAGGGTATATCAGTGGAGAAATGCCTTAAACACTTTTTGAGTATATAACTGAGTAATACAGCTGTATACAAGTTTATAAGTTTGGTCAAGCAATGTTTTAAATAAATATCATTGGTATCAGAAGGGGATTTTGTGGTTATCATGGCAATTTCAACAGTTTAGATCATGAGTCGATTGAAGCTAGATCACCATGGAAAACCTGGAAGCACTGGATGGACGTTTCGTCCCATTGTGGGACTCCTCAAAAGTGCGCATTCATGATCTCAACTATTGAAATTACTATAATATCCACAAAACCCTTCTGATATGAATCAGTATATGCTCACTAGTGACCGGCTTCAAGAGGTATTTCCTAGAGTTCTAGTGAGAAGCAGTGACCAATCGAGTTCAACCTGCTCTGTTGTGAGATAGTAACTCACTGAATACAATGGTAGATGTGTCGCTCAATTTCGTATATTGTTTGAAGTTAGACATTAAGACCGTTGGATGCTGGCCGGTCCAGTGGTCTAGAGGTTAAGTGTTCGCGCACGAGACCGATAGGTCCTGGGTTGGAATCTCACGAGGCGGAGTCATGTATGCCCATTGCTGAGGAGTCCTATAGTAGGACGAAACTGCCGTCCAGTGTTTTTAGGTTTTGGTCTAGCTTCAATTGACTCATGATCTCAACCATTGAATTATCATTGGATTTTGAAAAAAAACCTGGGAACAACAACAAAATTACAATTCTAGATAATTTATCGTACTCTGATTAACAGTTTATTCATAATTTCTAAGTTTACACTCATAAAAAGTTTTCAGATTAGCCGAACTTATTAACGTGTATGTAGTTGTGAAGAGATCGTTATGAAATACAATTAAGTCTAGGTACTTTTAAATGATGTTTTTTTGTTCTAAAATATGGAATGAAATGAATTTATTGTAATTCAATCACCATACTCTAAATAGCAATCTCTAGTCAGCATATCTGACCCTTTACAATTACATTTTGTTCCTGCTGTGAGGAATGTTTTTGACAGACTGGGGTAGGATAATCTAGATATTATGAGCCATGAAAGGACAACAAGACAGCTGAAGAGTCTGGCTTTCGGACACTTCCTAGGATCTTCGAACAATGTAAACAATAAAGAGAAAAGTGTATTACCACAAGTGAGCAGTATTTAAGTGTGATGCATCCTAAGTTTGTACGGTGTGGTTTTCATGACATCAGTTCACTTATTTGTTAGAAGTAGTGGTAAATTTGTGAAGGAATTTAATTGTTACATGGTTTTTTTATAGTTGGGGGACGATACTACTAAGCTGTAGAAGGTCAATGGTCAACTGAATAGCTCTATAGTAACATCTGAAACTGTGAAGCTGTGCACTGAATATTTTAATCCTTGTGGAAATATCACTTCCTGTAAAATTACATGTACCCCTTCCTGATGAATTCTGGCTAGCACAAAGATCTAGGTTCAAGGTTTCTTGTCGATTAACTGAAATCACCTAACTTATGGAAATAGTACACGCAAGTCCAAGTCACTCTGACTAATGATCTCATTACAACATGTTCGATCATATTCGATTAGACTAGACAAACAAAACATTGATTACTATTCAATTGTAAAGGATTCAAATATATGATATATTTTATTGTTAGAACAATCACGTATGGCTGGAAGAAAGTTAGGGGCGGACAAACTAAAACGTGGCATCAATTCTCGAAGTCACTATTTTCTAGTCTTAGCCATGTTGGTAGATGCAGGCTACTTGGTTGGGGTCCGAGTGACTATCGTAACCAATGGTTGGACACTGTGTGACACGGCACAAAATCGGTCAAAATGGCATAGGTATATACACTCTCTAGCTTCACTTAAACTATGAGATTAAACCTACTTTATACTTTTCTTTCTAATTTTCTCTTCCTGTACTACGTATAACGTCCCGAAGTTACCTACCCTATGAATATAAGTATTAATAATGTTTGATTTATATTAAGTGGAAAAATGTGCGTTTCAGTTTGTGTAACGTATTTCAGAAGTGCAGTTTGATATTTTATTGTTCTCAGGCCAAATTAACTTATGTTGTCAATGGGCACAATAATTACTTCGTCATGTCACGATACGTTGATGTGAAATATCGGAGTGCTTGAATCGTCTTACTTACTCCCAAGATGAAAAGTTTATTTCAGTTGTGGTTTAAATTAGTGTCCAGTTTAATACTAATAACTTGGGCGACATGTCTGAGAATCGACCACAAAGGCGTTGGTGTATACACTCTTTATCTTCCCTTAAACCGTGAGATTAAATTTACTTTATACCTTTCTTTTTATGAAGTAATTCCTTTTGCCTGTATCATATCCTTATATACAGTCCTTTTTATGTATATTGCTACGACTGAAGTAACTGTTTCTATGAATTTGGTGTTCATTTTATTGTACTAATGATGTATGGAAACGAACCGATGCATATAGTTGCCTGGTCCTACGTTGTAGATGACTAAGAGACTGACTATTAGAAATACATCAGTGATTTCCTCTTTATCATTCGAAATAATAAACTATCCATTAATCATAGTTATTCAATTCACAATGTATAATAACAAAGGCAGTGCAAAGAAATTATTCAATTTCTACAATGTTGCATTGTACAAAATATACATTTGATGAGACTATAACTTATGAACGAACCAATCAAATATTAGATAACAAGTCTCAAATTTTAACTCGAAATTCATCCATCCATTGAGCTAAACAGAGTTTTGACATTATGGCTGTTATCAGCTCGTGATTACTTACTTACTTACGCCAGTTACTCCAAATGGAGCATCGGCCACCAACCAGCATTCTCCAACTCACTCTGTCCTGAGCCTTCCTTTCCAGTTCTATCCATTTGTTGTTCATTTTTCTCATATCTGTCTCCATTTCCCGGCCTAATGTGTTCTTTAATCTTCCTCTCCTCTTTTAGCCTTCAGGATTCCATATGAGGGCTTACCTTGTGACGCAGTTCGGTGTTTTCCTCAATGTGTGTCCTATCCACTACCAGCGCGTCTTCCTGATTCCTTCCTCCTCTGGGATCTGGTTTGTTTTCTCCCACATTAAGTTGTTGCTAATAGTGTCCGGCAAACGGATCCGAAGTATTTTGCGTAGACAACTGTTAATAAACACTTGTATGTTCTGGATGATGGCTCTCGTATTTATCCAAGTTTGTGCCCAATATAGTGAAGCTGTCTTGACATTTGTGTTGAAAATTCTAACTTTGGTGTTGGTTGGCAGACAGTTGTTTTGAGCTCCAGATGTTCATCAGTCATAAATATGCTGCTCTTGCTTCGCCAATCAATCAGTTCATGATGAAAACCCTAAATCTAATTACTGACCTTAATCATCAACTATAAATCATAATTCTAATTCCTTACACTGGTTTATAATCTTCATTTAGCTCTAGTTATTAGGTGAACACTCTCAAAGTCACTTTAGTGTTGCTCAAAGATCGTCCATACATTATAATCTCACTGCATATTTTATTGAGAAAAAATAAACACCGTATCAAGTGACTCAATATTTTCACAAAATTTTTGTATTGATATTTGAAAAAAAAACCTTGAAAAAATTAAAAAAAAATAAAAAAAAATTGAAAAAAAACTTCTATCACAAAATGTACAAACATGCATGGCAACAACTACGTTTACACATAAATAATTTGACTGAATTAATAATATTCATTTTTAAATGAAAAAAAAATTTGAATTTTATTAAAACACGTCCCTTTCAAGAAAAAAAGTTAAATTCTTGATAGAACTTTTTTTTCAAAAAAAAAATAGAAAAGAAAAGAAAAGAAAAGAAAAATGAAGTATTTTTCACTATTGTAATCATCATTAGATTTGCAAATTTTATTCAATGAATACGAAGACAGAGAAAAATAGGTGTAGTTCCTTTGTATTATGATTCAACGATTCAATAAAATTATGTAAATAATAATATATGACAGTTGAAATCATTTCACTCAAATTAGTTGAAATGTATTTATTGTTTGTTATAGGGATTGTCAATATAAACGGATAAATATTATATGTCAACAATGTTTAACATTATTGATTAAACATCATTAAATGATATGTGAATTGATGTGAATAGATTTGTCATCATCATCATCATCATCATCATCATCATCATCATCATCATCATCATCATCATCATCATCATCATCATCATCATCATCATCATCATCATCATCATCATCATCATCATCATCATCATCATCATCATCATCATCATCATCATCATCATCATCATCATCATCATCATCATCATCATCATCATCATCATCATCATCATCATCATCATCATCATCATCATCATCATCATCATCATCATCATCATCATCATCATCATCATCATCATCATCATCATCATCATCATCATCATCATCATCATCATCATCATCATCATCATCATCATCATCATCATCATCATCATCATCATCATCAGTCCAAACGATTCAGTGTTTGTTATATTCTGGGGTCACAATTACAAAATTTCAATGAATTTTAATCTGATATGACGGCCGTCTAGTGCTTCAAGGTTTTTCATGGTGGTCTAGGTTCAATTGACTCATGATCTCAACTATTGAAATCATTATAATATTCACAAAACTCCTTCTAAATCTAGTATTATTGAATTAGCCTACGCGAAACTTGGCAAATATTTAGAGGCATAAGATATTTCTGAAATGAGTTAGAAATATTATTTTTAATCGAACTTACAAATTCAACTTATACAAGACCTTCCAGTTCAAAGTGGTTTTGCTAGGAATTGAAATTCTACTATCTTCAGTCCCTATCAATATGGAGATTTATGGATATTATTAAATATTATAGATATCAGTAACTCGTCTAAGCTAGGTGACTGTTGTAAACCGGGAAGCCCTGAATATCTGATTCGTCCTAGTATGAAACATTCAATTTTATGGATCCATGATTTATATAGGTTTGTGATGTCGATCATTTTTTCTAAACTCTACAAACCTCACCACTGATAATCATCATGTCCTTATTAGTGACTAATTCCAAGTAGTAAGTGGAGAGTTTTAGTGAGAAACAGTGACCATGGCGGTTCAAACATATCCGGTTAGCGACAGTCATACATAGCAAACAAAAAAAGATAGTCGTGCAATTTCATGAATTATTTGCATTTAGATAATGTGTACCATTGAATTCCCTGTCAGTGATTTAGAGATTCAGAATTCGCGAGAGAGAGCAAAGGTTTTGTGTTTAATCTCTGATGGTGGTGGGTCGTGGATGTGTAGTAGTGAAGATTTCCATACTAGGGCGCGATAACTATTCATTGACTCCTCGTTTCTAATGTTTGTTTAAATAAGAGCATTCTATAATGTCAACTATAAAATTATCAATATTACTTAGTTTGATAGTTTTATATACAACTAATTAAAATCGTGTGTAACTACTGTAGCATCAGCATATGCATCAGTAGGCCCTATCATACACAAAGGAAAATTCAAGATCCTCAAATGCAACTAAGAGAACACCAACTCAGTCACACTTGATGGAGAAAATCTGGAAGATGTCGAATCCTTCACATACCTGGAAAGCATCATCGATGGACAAGGAGGATCGGATGCAGATGTAAAAGCGAGGATCGGCAAAGCAAGGGCGGCATTCCTACAATTGAAGAACATATGGAACTCAAAACAACTTTCAAACAATATCAAAGTCACAATCTTCAATATGAACGTCAAGACAACCAGTTCTACTGTATGGAGATGAAACATGGAGAACTATTACAATCATCATCAAGAAGATACAAGTATTTATAAATAGTTGTCTACACAAGATACTCAAAGTCAGTTGGTTGGATACCATCAGTAATAGCCTACTGTGGGAGAGAACAAATCAGCTGCCAACTGAAGAGGAAATTAGTGAAAGACGTTGTAAGTGGATAGGACATAGATTACGCAAATCATCAAACTGCATTACGAGGCAATCTCTAACTTGGAATTTTGAAGTGAAATGGAAAAGTGTAAGGCCAAAGTAAACACTGTGTCGGGAATTGGAAACAGATATGTAAAGGATGAATAACAACTGGAAGGAGGTGGGAAGGATTGCTTGGGACAGGGTTAGATGGAGAATGTTGGTGGGCGGTCTATTCTCCTCGACGAGGAGTAACAGGAGTAACTAACTAAGTAAGTAACATATAATGCATATTCTGGACTATAATCATTTAATTAACTTGTACAAATATAATCCTAAATCATTAATAGCATGCATTTACTTCAACTCCATTGATTCATGAGCATATTAAAGAATCTATTTAATAAGTTACTAAATATTTGCTGTAATTACAAAGAAAAGAAAAAGAGAATAGTTGCTATTTATTCGTTTACAATCTGACTTAATCAATTAAATTAACGTATTATGAGTACAAACAGAATGAGTTGAATTTCAAATTGATTGTCCTGTCAAATTACTACCAATCGAAATCATTAATTAGATAATATGGAACAATGGCTTTATTCATTTCATAGTCACGTTTAATGTTAGAGTTGATTAAGTGATATATATGTATATATATTACTTACGCTTGTTACCCCGCTTGAAGGGATATAAGTCGTCCAATAATATTCTCCATCAAACTCTGTCCTGTGTAATCGTTTACAGTTAGGTTTTTTTTCCCCTATCGATATTCATTCTTTTGATGTCTGTTTCCAATTCTCTATGTAATAGGTTATTTGATCTTACTCTTTTCCTTTTTTGATAACATTATCTACGTAGTCAATACAACTATATAAATAATTAATTGTACATTTAATAATCTGTTATACACTCCCTGGTATACACTCCCTGTCTTCCCTTAAACTAAGAGATTAAAATCACTTCATATCTTTCTTTCTACGAACCAATTCTTTCTTCTTGTACTATATCTCTATATGCAATCTTTCTCTTATATATTACTACCTTTGACCTAACCACTGCTATGAATCCGGTGTTCATCTTGTTGTGTTGATGCGGTATGGCATCCTGGACCGATGCATATATGTGCATAGTCCTACGTTGTAGCTGACTGACTGACTGACTATAAAATAGAGTATGGTAATATGTCACTTAACAATTGTCCATTTGACGAATATAAAAACAAGAAACATGTTAAGAATAAAAGAACAATTGGAAATTGCAAAGATTCACTTCTAACTGGACTGTATTTTGTGTGTGCTTCAAGAGTATGTAAAGCTGTGTGTATGAAGTGTTCTATGAGAGAATGTGAAGAACATGAATCGAAATTGAGTCAAATACTTAGTCACTTCATAGGATGTATTAACATTTGATGTGAAGACAATCAGTAACAGTTAGAAACAACACAAGAGTGAAATTTAAAATGTATTACATATTAAACTAGTGATAAGTTTAAAATGTGTATTAAGTCTATGATAAAAAAAAGGAATTATACAGTTCCCTTTGTAGACAGTAATAAGGTTTAAATTAATGAATTACTATAGCTTCATATGTTAATCACGAGTATTTGAATTATAGTATGAACTAAGAATCCAGACCGTTGTTGCTACCTTGACGTGGTAGTCGGGCTTCCCTATCGTGATGAAGCAACCGAACTATACTGGCTGGAAAAACTGTTCCTCAAGGTCCTACCATGTCAGACAGGTCGGTTGAAGAGCGGTAAGACTAAAAGCAACAAACCCAAGGTCCGAAGTCTTACTGCTGACTGTACAGAGGTGTGACAACAGTAATGTGTTTCCTTCAAACAACCAGCATGACAGCGATGCTGCCTTCCCACAAGGAGGGGTGGGGTTAAAAACTGTCGATCCTAAAAATGCACACCTCGTCTTATCCCACGGATATCCGTCTCCGGCGGTAAGGTCTCAACAAGTACGGAGCTAACACAAAAATCACCCATAAAAAGGTCGTGTGTGACCGACCTCAAGCAGTTGTCCCTTGGGCACTGCGGTCACGCTTCCAGGTCACTGAGACCACCTCTAATCCAATTTCCTTTTCAGGTACCTCCAGAAGAATCCTTCCACGGTGTGGGCAACCGGGAAGTGATAACCACCCTCATACCTCTAACAGCATTCAAGACCACTGTATTCATAATCAACCTCCGTCTTCACATCGACTGATGAACTAAGAATCCCAGAAATAACGTAGTCGGATCAAGAAGTAGTAGATAACCACAAACGAATGTACTGTATTTAGAATTCGAAATCAAGCATTCAGCAAGTACAAAGGTATCATTAGTTCATTGAAACACCACACTTCATCTGTATACAAATTAAATTTGATAAATAGGTTGAAAACAAAAAGAAAATAATTCAATTATTTGGTGAAATATACTAAACATGTTTCGTCATTAATCTCAAACTTTAACTCGATAGATTCACATTTTCATGGTTAATCTTCTTATTAAGAATAGAATTCATAACCACGTTTTTATCAAATAGTTTCACCATTAGTGATTAACCAAATTCATATCAGAAGGGTTTTTGTAGTTATTATAGTAATTTCAATGGTTGAGATCAACTAGGCTGAGCGTTCGCGCGCGAGACCTATAGGTCCTAGGTTTGAATCTTACAAGGCAGGATCGTGAATGCGCATTGCTGAGAAGTTTTACACTAAGACGAAAGGGCTGTTCAGTGCTGCCAGGTTTCCATGATTGTCTAGCTTCAACTGACTCATGATCTCAACTATTGAAATTAACCAAATTGTAGATACAAACTATTCCAGTTGATATAAAGCATCATTTAGAAAGCTCATACCTAAACGACTAATTTGAAAAGTCCACTTCAAACCATCTATCTATCATAAATTATATTCTGATTCAATCTTTAACACTAACAATATAAGATAAGTAGGTAAACAGCAATTTATAACTCGAGCAATTTAGTTAAGAAAGTAATTTCTAAATGTGATATTGAGAGTATTCCCCTGAGAAATGAGAAAACTAGATTGAACTGAATTAACTCGGAGAGACTATAATTTATAGACGAACCAATCAGGTTTAAGATAACAGGTCTTGGATTTTGGCGCGAAATTCACTCATCTATTCGGCTAAATAGAGTTTTGGCATTATAGCTAATGTCAGTTGGTGATGAAAACCCTATATCTAATTCCTAACCTTAACCCCATCAACCTTAAATCATAATTCTAATTTCTTACACTGATTTATAACCCTCATTTGGTCTTAGTTATTGGGTGGGTACTCACAGGGTCACTTTGACGTCGCTCAATGGTCATCCATAAATTATAGTCTCACTATTAACTCTTGCAGAATAACTATGAGGCTTATTTTGACATGAACTAGTCATCTCTTATTATTGTTCAGAACAATAATAAAAGCTTTAAACTGTTTAGCTCAGAAAACTCCACAACACCTAAAACATTCATCTACACTATGAATCTTAGCCATGATTTCAGGTTATATGTATATTTAACATTAGTAATGGAATGAAAAAAAAGCTAATTAACTAGGAATCTAACAGTGTATTAGTACCATAAGTCTAGTAGTGTAAATGTAAAAGTTT